TATTCATCCACTCAGCTGTTATTCCCCTCCCTCCGTTACCTATAACTTAACATTAAATCATATAACGTTAATAATATCAAATAACATTATATCATCTTATCAAGTGGCGCACAGCCACACGTGAGAGATAAACACCGGCAGCTGCTGTGCTATTCATCATACAACAAGGCCCACACAAAGAAGCACTGAACGCAAGATAGGTTAGTAACCTGAAGTTAGTAAACATGTTTAGCTCAGCATTGGCCATCTAACGTTAGCTTGCTTCTTGCATTAACTACGACCTATCAGAGGTTAACTCTGCTGTCGTTATGAAAAGATGAATGAGCGTTTACTTGCTTGCCAAACTTGTGGTGGTCGATTAACGTAATCATTTACGTCCCGCTGGCTGCCATCATGTTAATTATTACCGTTGGCTGCAAACTGGTTACAGGTTTATTGTTAATCATGTAATGTTACAGATTTATTTAGTTATAACGTTACACTGGTTTGAGAGTCTGCGGAGTGTGTTGACTTACAGTAGTTAATAAGCTGTTAATTGCATTGCACATTACATGGTTGTGCTTTGTAAGTGAAAAACACGTTGCAGTTACAGAATCCCTTATAGCTCTGCAGTGTTTTAAGCAGCCTGGACTGAATGCAGCAGGTGATACAACATTCATTATAACCACGAGAGACTTGAGACTTGACTTGGACTCTAGCTCCAAGACTTGTGAGCATCTCTGGCCCCTTCTGAAGACAAAAAAACAATAATGTTTCATACATTTTTCATAGGCCTATATATATATATATATATATATATTTGAGTTATTTTAAAAGAATTCAAATACACTTTTGTTCAAATACCATCAATGGCTCTCAAGATCCTCCAAAGTTTAAGTAAACAGTAATTTGAGAAATTACAAAATCAATTACATTTTATTTATACAGCGCAAATTCATAACAGAAGTTATCTCATTGCACTTTACATAGAGCAAGTCTTGACCGTGCTCTTTGTAATATTATTTACAGAGACCCAACAGTTCCCACCACGAGCAAGCATATTAATTCTCTTGTATTTTTCTATTCTATTTTTATTTAACGTGTATTGTTTTATCTGTTGTGTTGTATTTTGGGTTGCTGTAAGAAGTGAATTTCCCCTGTGTGGGATCAATCACATAAGTCCATTATCTTATTATGGGGCGGCTGTGGCTCAGGAGATAGAGCAGGTTGGCCGTTAATCGGAAGGTCGGCGGTTCAATCCCTGGCTCCCCCTGGTTGTGTGTCGAAGTGTCCTTGGGCAAGATACTGAACCCCGATTTGCCCCTGGCGGCTGTTCCGCCAGTGTATGGATGTGTGTGAATGTTAGTTTCCGTTTGAGCACTTAGGCTCAGTGTATGAATGAATGTGTATGACTGGTGAATGCAGATGTACTGTAAAAGCGCTTTGAGTGGTAGAAAAGACTAGAAAGGCTATACAAGTACGGAGCTTTTACATTTATCTCTTAAAAAACATTTTAACAGGTAGAAACCTCGAGACTCAAGGTGGGAGGCCAACTACCTCAACTGGGTGTGTTGAGAGAGCAGGAGGAAGGGAAACACATTGCAGAACAATGCAAGTTCCGCACAATCGATTTGCATTAGATTAGAAGTTAATCCCCGATGATGCATCCATCCTAACAGTGCTGTAAACCCAAGGCTGATAGATTCCTACCATTGCTGCAGTATGGGAAATCAACTATTACACTACTACTGTACTGTTAATATTCACACTGCTACTGTAATACTGATAATATTCGATTGCTGTTATCCAGCCAATCAGGATGCCTTTTGCATTTTGTGCATGAAGGTGGAGCTGATTCAAACAGCAGATCTGATCACTCCAATCAAACTCAAATTCCATCAGCATCATCAGCTTTGTTAATCAAAGCAATAACACACCCACACACATCAATTAATTCATACGCAGCCCTTTATTACTCAGTGATGTTGTTGTCTGCAGCAGTCAGCTATTATTGATTCATCCAGTCTAGTCTGTAAAACTGTGATTTCAAATATTCATAATTAAAAAGCTGAGATTTTAAAAAACAAAAAACAAAACACAAACAACTCCCTCCACTCATTACAGTAATTTGTGGTTCTGGCTGTGTGGACTGAGCTCAAATTGGAGAAAACTTCATTAACAACCAACCAACACCACCATTTGCAGCATCACTTGGATATTCACATTACAAGAGAGGGCAGAGGAAGCGGAACATTTGGATGTATGAGGGATGTCAGAGGTTTGCAAAGCCTGACACTGCGGGCCCCTCTCTCAGACAAAATCCAAGGCCTTTCGGTCTGTGTACAGACTGTGTAAACAAATGCAAGTTAAATTTTTTTAACTTGACTGGGAATTCATGAATCTGCTTCATAAAAATGCGGAGACAATAGGAAACAGAGACTGGAAGGAAATAAAGACGTGGAGTTTCCGATGAGTTCAGTCAGAAGCTGAGCTGTAACACACAAACCGGCACATAGGTTGCTAGCTATAGCTGCAGCTAATGTCTGTGCAGTTTGTACACTGGCTGTTTGGGACAAATAAACGGACTGAACATACGCTCCACTGGTCAAATTTGCATGAATGATACAAGGTGAAAATTAATTTGTAGGGCTGAACGCTAATATTCGAATATTCAAATATTCGATCGTTGGGTACGCATTCAATTTTTGGATTTGAATATTGAAGGTTTTTTGTCTGGCCTGTCCTCCGCTCACAGCAGTGGACGTAACGCTCCAGTTCACAAAGGGAAAACAAAATGAAGCTCTCCGCTGTGTGGGAGCACTTTAAACTGAGTGATGAAAACAGCAGTTATGGAGTTTATTAATTTTACAACTGATTAATTTCATTACAAATCAAAACAGTCAAATAGCCTACATTTAAAAGTTAATCAGTAAACTGAAGGCTACAACAAACTAGGAGTGACTCTAAATAGTCAAAGATTTGATAGGCGGAGCCTGATTTGACTCCCAATCTTATATGATTTTACTACCATGGTTTGGTAGTAAAATCAGACATTGAGCAGCGTCTCGCCGACTGTATAAGAAGAACATGTAGTAGGCTATAATAAAAGTAAAAAGTGAATTTTGCATAATAGCATGTTACTTTCCGCTACTGGAAATGGCACTCATCCTATCTTCTCTCCCTAGACCCCCCAACCTGGCTAAAATATTCCCATATTCTGCTCTGGACCTTCTCGGGTCACAGTCTGGACTCTCAGCTATGGTTCCCCCTCCTCTGCACAGCAGCCACCAACTCGGTTTCTTAATGTATCTAGACTTCCACTCTGCCTTCGCTCATCCCCGGTTTAATATCTGATCTCTTTAACCCTGCAGTAAATATTCCTCTTTTATGCAGTCTCCTCCCTCTCTCAGTCCTGCACTTGGGTCTACTAGCCCAGCCTAGGGCTCCAACACTGTCAGGGCCGGCCCTGGTTAACTCTTCTCTATCAGATTCTCCCTCGCTCATATCATTGCCAGAACTGTACTTGTGCTTTGTGTTTGAGTATCTCTGCTTACAGAGTGTGTGTTTGTGTCAGAATGAATGGATGCTACAGTGCTGTGAGAAGTATGTCTGTATGTAACCAGATGTCATCCTGCTCAGTCAGCTGATTGTTGCAGTCAGCTATTGTGTATGTTTTGTAACTGTGTGTGTCCACTACTGTATATTTTACAGTCAGCTATTCTGACTGTGTGTGTGTGTGTGTGTGTGTGTGTGTGTGTGTGTGCGCCGTCTTTGCATCCAACTGTTCGTGCATACATGTGTGATAGAATTACAAGAACACAATCTTTGTGAGGACCAATTTGAATTGTATACAGTGTGTGGACATGTTTGGACATTATGTCGACTCCTCACTTCTTCAGAAGACTATTGGAGGGTTAAAGCCTCCTTTTAGAACCAAGGTCAGAATTAGGTTAAGGTGCAGGTTACACATTTAGTTGCTAGACATGCATTTCAATGAGGGTCCTCACAAGTATATGGAAGTACAAGTGTATGTGTGTGTCTGTGTGTGTTTGTGTGTCTGTGTGTGTCTGTGTCTAGCAGCAAGGTAGCAGAGTGGGAGGGTGTGACTTAATTGAGCATGAAAGACAACAGATGACCTCTGGTGCTACAGTGCTGCTGCCAATCAGCCTGAGGCTCAAGGACGCAAACCAAACAACCACGCACAGTCCTTCATGCTCAGATTCACCTGTGGACACTGTATACCGGCAGTCTACATAGAGAACAGTTTGGAATTTTGTAAATATCTGTTATTAAAACTAGTGATGGAGGGCTGAAGCAGCTTGTTACGCCAGATACATTTCCAGTCACAGTGATCAGTATGGAAGGTATTTCCAAATGGATGTTACTGTGACTACAGCTGAATCATCAAAACACCTGTGAATACAAAAAGTCTGGTTGTGAATGGCTCTTAACATTTTCATGTTCATGTTTCAAAAGGCATCCATGCCAGAGGATGAGGTGCAAATGCCACAAAAACCAAGAAAAAGTTTATACAAAATATTTTTATATTCTGCACAATTTGTATAATGACTAGTAGTGATCGGCCGGCCGATGAAACAGGATTTTTTATATATCTCATGTTGAGTAGCATTTTAAAATGGGACCTGACACTGCAGCAGCTGAAGTGAAACAGCCTGAGCTTTAATTCATAAAAACAATAACAAGAGCAACAAATCATCACCATCCCTCCCTTCTTATGACAATATGAAATCTGTGCCGTGGCACCGATTGGTCTCAAGGTGTGTCAGTAGAGTGGAACCAGGCAGCTGATTGGATGGTCGGGATGAGTGGGCTTGATGGTTCACATAGGGAGCAGATCAATGGCCGCCGCCGTGCAGGCTTGCAGACCTGGAATCTGTTAGTCGCCCTTACTTATTGTCTCTCACACACACACACACACACACACACACACAGTGGGGTACGGCAACATTGTGTGCACACAGAAACACTGGCGAGACACAAATTAAAAAGCAGCCCCCTACCAGACTCGTTGTTCTCTGAATCCATCTTGTTGAAGACGAAGCAGAGGATGGCCTGCCAGGTGGACCTCGACGCCGCGGTCTCTTTTTCTCTCTCACACACACTCCCTCTCTCTCTGTGATTCCACTCTCTCTCCCCCCACCCCCTTCACAAACTGACTCATCTCTGACCTTGCAGTGCTTGTGTTTCCCCTCGCCAGCAGCAGCAGCAAATCTGCTGAAGGCTGCAGGTGAAGCTGCAGCGCTGCAGAGTCGAATCCAAATGGCTAAAAACGCTCAAAACCTACTCGGTACAGATTCCCCCAAGAGATAAGGGGGAGCACGTTAAACACCCTGCACACACACATGTACACTGGAGAGATGACATTAATGAGGAATGTGTGGGTTGAAGGTGTTTTAATCATCCTGATTGAAGTATAATGCAGATTTACTCAGCACTGCTGTTGCTGTAAATTGTGTGTGTGCAGGGTCTATTGCACACACACAATTCTATAAAGAACCTTTTATTGGATTTTAAGTTACGGTTACAGTTGAGAACTTTCCACACCTGAATCACGGATTGCATTTTTGTACAACTGTAAACATTTGATGCCGATAGTTTTGGTTTTACATAGCAATTATGCATTATTGTGGTTGAGATCAAACTGAAAAAACGAGGAATGTGTAAAAAGGCCCTGGGAAACGGGTGTGTGTTTGTCACTTATGGCTGGAGCAGACACTATTATGCCACAGGCTGATTAGACAGCTGAGACACTAATTTTAGGATTGGTGATTCAGTGCGTGTATCAGTACATTTTAATATTTTTTGGCACATTTTTACAATACTGTGATAATTTTGGTCACTATAATCTTGATATGAAATTTTCATACCGTTTCATCCCTAATACATATACATACATACATACATATATACTAGGGCTGGGCACGTTAATGCGTTATTATCGCGTTAACACATTAATAAATTAACGCCGACAATTATTTTATGGCACGTTAACGCAGTTTTTTTAAAATTCTTATTAGTTAGAAAGTCCGTTGCTCACTGGCTCTGAATACACATGCAGTCAAACCATGGTCACAGGAGGGGCGGGATGTTGATCAGCCTGCAAATCACCCACTCAAACAAGCAGCGGAGGGAGGCTTCAGTAGACTATGCTGTCATCTCTTTTCCATATTTTCCACCCGCGATCCCTTATCACGGCAGCATCCTGTCAGACAACTCAAACAGCTGAAACCAACATCTGCACCCTGTGTTCAATGCTGCTTTAACGTTACCTGGTCCGTGCTGACTTGTAACGTCACTTGAAGTTTTTAACCAAGTGAAGTCTGTGCAAGTGAACACATGTACATAAGACGACCGCTACACGCCCCCCTCCCCGTCATCGTCCATCCTGATGTTTGAATGTAGACATCGTCCCAACCCTACTGAACATAGTACTTCTGCTACTCCCTGATAAAAGATACATGCTAATACCTGTTCAGAAAAAAATAAATAAATAAATAATAAGAAAACTGGACAAAATACTACTTCAGAATTCATTAATAGTTGCCCAGCACTATATCTATCCATCTATCTTTAGAGAAGCCTGAGAGTAGAATGATATGACAGACTGTATAGCTTTATACAACATGAACATGAAATTTAGTTCATCAGTGCCAGATGTTCATAACAGCAACAAGCAGTTTGTGTCCTTTAAAGAATAAATTTGGATTAGCTGGCACCCCAGCTCACAAACGCCAAAAGCCCTGTACTGACCAGCCAGAGCTCACTGACAAACTGACACATTTTAGCCTAACTGGACGGTGATGCACTCACAGTCTAAGGCTGCAACGATCACTGCATACTATTATTTTCATTATCGATTAATCTACCAATTTTTACCCCCTTTGATTAATCAGTTAGTCTATAAAATGTGAAAAATATCTATTCTTGTTTTATCCGACCAACAGTCCAAAACCCAAAAAGATCTTCAATTTACAATAACATCAATAGAGAAACGCAAAATTTCTTTGAAAACAGAAAGATAAATTAAATTATTCATCAATTTTCAAATCATAGTTGCAGACTAGTCAGTAAATATTACAAATTGTTGCAGCTCTATCACACCATTTTCAAGTAAAGCTTACATCTTGGCAGATGAGTCCCTGTGCCAGCAGAAAGTTGTATCACTTTGCTAATTACACAATAAATGAGAAAATAACTAACAAAATTGTTTTTGCTGGAGCTCTGGGTCTCCCTCCTGCCAGTGGGAAACCCTCGCTTAACTCTGTGGAAAGAATGTCTGAGCACACCAACCTTACAGCATCCTACATCCAAAAAAGGACAGAATGCAGAGCCAGAGGGATCGCACAGCGAGTGTCTGTGTATGTGCTCCAATACATGATGCAAAGGGAGCTGAAGAGGAGGTACAATGGTGGCCTGACATTCCGACCAAAGATGGACCATCATCTCTACATATGACACTCTTCACTCTTCTAACTGATAATTTAGCTGCAGGAAAAGAAATTTAAAACATAATAATATTGAGCTGAAAGGTATTTTGGAAGCTGTAGTTATAAGAATAGGTAAAAGCCGTGAAACAATCAGAAAATCACATTTCTCTGTTTCACTGCTTTGTTCAGTTTTGTTTGCAGCCCCCTCTCTTCACTGACTCTCTGGCTCGCTCTACCACCGCTGCCCTCCCTTTCTGAGCCAAGGTCAACTTTTACTAACAGCAACTAATCATTCAGCCAAGACACACCTCCAAGCGAGTAACCCTGTTGTAAGGGAGATGCAAATCGCTGCACGCTGGGAGTTAGGGTTGGGCAATATGGCCAAAAATGTTATCACGATAAAAACATTTTATACCATTCGACATTGATAATTATCACGATAAATGTCAAATCATTATTTCTTTCAAGTTTAAAGGCTGATTTTTGCTCTGGAGTGAAAATTGAAGAAACCAGATGATTAACTGTGTGGTTAAACTTTTATTTACGGTCAGAACGTGATAAAACACTTGATACCAAACAGTGGATCACTTCACAAATCTGAGGGAGAACATTCAAAACTATTATGATAAAATTACTATAATAATTATAATAAATATAATAATTATTAATAAATAAATATATTAATAGAAAAATGAAGTGCTAATTTGTTTCTGATTCGAATTAATTCAAACAAACATTTATTGACAATATATCAGAAGAATCAGCATATGTTATATTGAACATATTGTTATAGAGGAAAATTATATTGCAATAATTATCATTATTGTTTTATTGCCCAGCCCTACTGGGAGTCAAAGAAAGCTAAGCCAAGCCAGCACGTGTATGGAGAAGCCTATACGAGTCTGCACTCCAAAACAGGGAGCAAAGAGCCCACAGAGTTTAGATTAACAGCAAAAGATATGCAACCTACATAGTGATGTGTACATTAACTCAACAGTTTACTCTCGCTGTGAATGATTTTTCAGACTGACATATCAGGCTGAAACTGGCATCGGCAAGTAAATGTCATCCACCTCCTAAAATGCTTGCATTTTGTTTTTGTAGCTGAAGAGAAAGAGTAGAATGAACTTTGCATAAACAAGAATTAACTTTTGATCTCAATGTGGACAAGAAGTACTTTAAGTGCTCAGAATAATTTTAGCTGGGAAACCATCTACTGAGAAAAGATAGACCTCCAGAGCAGCTACTAATAGCCACAAGCTAGCAGCATAGCTCTAGGCAATTTGGTCCACCGCTTTGATCCAGACTAAAATATTTAACTATTGAATGTCTGGCTCAAATTTCTTTAATCCAGTCATGTTCACTTCAGGATAAACTGTAATAACTTTGGTGATCCTCTGATTTTCATGTAGCACATTTAATGATGCTAATGACCTTCCCAATAGTCTTTGTACTAATAGTACTTTGTGTTTACTGCTAATTAGAAGTTCTTTAAGGAGCGTTAACAAATGCTATACAGTACCTGCTACAATCACCACTGTACAGCCTCGCAGAGCAGCTAGCAATAGTTACTGTCCACATATTTTTGCCCATGTAGTGTTTTGACCTTTACTTTCATTGGCTCAGTATTCCAAAGCATTTTCAATATTATAATAACATTAGATGTTCCAATTTGAGTATTTTAGTATTGCTAACGCTAAAAACATGTTTTGTCATTTTGAATGCTAGTCCTCTTTTGGACTCGTGATAATTTGTTGATCTTGAACACGACCTACATTTTGTCCTCAAAAAGGTGCAATTCACCTGGCCAATCACAGCGCAGTATAGCACTCGCACTAACTGAGGTCCGATACTTTTATACTTCCATTGACTCATGTGAAAAAGGCGTTGCTGTATTTTTCCAAGATATGGTCTTAGAAAGCACCAACAACATGAGTGCTAATATTTGAGAAACATTTATTCCTTTAAATTTAGTTCATCAGTGCACCAAAAAGCTAGTTTGTTTTAACATCCAAGTCTTAAACTTCCATTCACCTCCTCCGATTCAGTACATCATAATTTGCATACAAATACTTTTTTTTGTTAATCTGCACATGGAGGTGTGTATTTAATTATAACATACAGTCATTTCTGCATGAGAAACATTTCCTGCAGAGCCATTTCACATGCAGCTGCTGTTCTGCTATGGTCCTGCTGCTCAACATCCCTGTACCAACACCTTTCTGATGTTGATAGAGACACAAACAAACATCCGACTACAAAAACAGGCCGAGGAGAACTGTAAAATCCTTCAAGAAAGGTGCAGAAAAGCAGCAAGCCGACAGTCACACAACAAGCACACAAAGATAAAAGCTTCCCTCTCTGCAAAGATGCGACCGGCGGAGGAAAGAGAGGCAGGCGCATCCCCTTTGAAGTTATATTTAGGCCAAATCCTTCTTTGCAGAAGAAACCGTCCTCCACTATGCATACAAATCACAGCCAACAACTGAGGAACAGTCCTAAGAGCACAGGAACCGACTGCACACATACAATCAGCCGGTGGAGCATCAAAACCAACACAGGCCTGCTGGGTTTGATTGACTTTGATTCCTTCTGTGCATCCCAAATACTCCA